CACGAGAGACGGAATGAAGGGAGGGAGAGGGCGAGGAAGCATGGGGAGACGGACGAGATGGACGATAACGGCGCCAGAGGGAAGACGGCGTCTCAGCCTGCCGATCTGATCGCACCGCGCCTCCTACACGTCCTCCACATACCACCCTCGCCACCCCCTCTGGGCAGCAGCGTCTCGCCCGCGGTGCTGTGCGGTCAGGGCTGGCAGGCGTCCCACCCGCGCCGCTCGTCCTCAACGCAGGCGGCCCGGCCGGCGCCAGCGCGCGCCGCTGGTGCGGGTGACGTGGCAGAGTCATCGCGCTCAATTAGGCCCAATGGTCGGGACTGCCTCCATGAGGTCGGGGACGCGGTGACGGCGCACGGCCGGCGCCGCCCGGTGACGCCGCTGGAGACGGCCGCGGCCGACCCCGCGCCGCGCGCGCCATCCTGCGGCGCACGAGGCCGCCATCAGAATGAAATCAGGTACGTGATATACGTGACAGTGTCGAAACCAAGGCCGTGCAAGGCAGGGCACAAACACTGCATCGTAGTGACGTCACGAAGCGGTGAAGCGGTCCTGCACACCATGCGGAGTCAACCGTGCGGAGACACTTTCAAGGTAAGCCAAAAGGCTACAATGCATCACAGCCAAAACAAAATGCAGTGACAGATGGAATCTACCTGGCGCCTACTGGTGGCAAACCACGAATCCCCTACTTCATAGAAAAATATGTCCAGATCCCGCTAATATTCTCCGAACTGCACCGTAGCCGCCTAACCGCACCGATGTGGAGTTTCTCCGAAACGGTGTCAGAAGAAACTGGCCAGTTTGCTTTACAAATTCATTCAACTTAATTCATTTTGTTCATTCATTCATTCAACACGTCCGGATATCACATCAGCCCCCACCGCGTCCAGGGCTCTTCGATCATGCGGCCGGACACGGCATCCAGCAACAGATGCGCACAGTTCCCACATAATGGAGCGCAGCCCGGCCCCGTCCGTGACACCTGGGACGTTCAGCTGCACTTAATCATCGACACCTGCTGATACGTCGCTTCTTAATTACAGGGTTGAAAGGAAGTTCGAAACTGTAGCTCGGCTTTCAGTTTGGCGGCCGACGAATGGTCGTGAAAATCGGAACGCGGCAGATCTAATCCAGACATAGAAATATGACGTAAAAGCCAATTTCAGCTGTGAGAGGGACGGCACACAACAACTCACGCATTGTCCCGCTACAAAGAAGACACACACTTCTTACCACGTCGCAAGATCAATCTGCTGAGGAGAGCCCAACAATTCGCCCTCTGGCCGAGCTGGGCGACGCGTCGAACCACGCTCGCAGCCCACCATCCAGAGCACAGCTCCCTTACAGAGCAGCGTGGCGCGGTGGACGCGGCCCCGCTCGTCTTCGGGTCACGGTGCCGGTTCTGCTTCGGCAGCCCGGCCAGTGAATCAGAGGGCAGCCTGGGTCACCCGTCCGTCTGGTGTCGACCCGCACCGGCCAGGCCCCAGCCCCGAGCCCCGAGCAGGGGTGTGGGCTGCAGCGGCCACGCGGCTGTCCCGCTCATCCGCCGGGCAACAGGGCTCGGACGGGGGCGTAGGGACAGCGGCGGGGCAGAAGCGAGAAGGGAGCACGGATGCGGGGGACGGGTCAGGCGAGGGGCCGGCCCAGACTAGATGAAGGGGTGGGGGAGGGGGTCAGACGGAGGGGAGCGCGTAATGGCGGGGCATGTGGAAAAGCAGAGGCGTCCCAGAGGACAGGCGGTACCAGAGCAGACCGTTCGGAACGCTGCAGAGCGCAGGCTTTGTGCCGGGTCGCAGCTCAGCCGCCTCCGTCGGGCCGGCGGCGTTCCGCTACGAGGCGTCTGCCAGCGGCGTCTCGTCGGCGCCAGGCCGCAAACGCCGCCCAAGGCCGACTTCATCAGCGCCAACGTGCGACAGCAGGGCGGGGGCGCGCGACGCACCCGGGGCGCGGCTGTCACGGAGCACGCTGCCGGCACGTGCGCACCCTGCGGAGGCCAGCCCCACCGGTCAGAGGCGTCTGCTCCGAGCGGCAGCCCGGCTCACGTCTCGAGCCCGAAGTCTACCGGCACCTCGGGCCTACAGAACACCGCCGAAAGTGGCGGCGAAGAAAGCGGGCGGCGGCGGCGGTGGCTGGACTGCCCCGCGCTGCACCGCCAGCCGCGCCCCGTCTCCGCCGCCGTCACCGCCACCGCGCTCAGCCGCACGCAGCACCGCTTTCCACCGGGCGCGCCAGGGTCGGCCGGAAGCCGTGCACCGGCTTCCGGCCCGGCAGTGCCGCCCAGCGCTAATGAAATCTCCTTCGCGTCATCCGCGCTTCCTTTGCGGCCGGCGAGACCGGCGACGGCGACGGCGGCGGCGAGGAGGCCGGGCTGAGCGCTGCGCGGCGGGCCGCCGGCCACACGGGCCGCGCCGGCGCGCCGGTTACGACGCATTGTCCGGGCCGAGGCCCGTGATCGCCCCGCCCGGTACTCACGTGCCGTCCGGGTCACGGGTCAGGGCTGGACTGACGTGGGACCCGTGCCAAGGCCCCGGGCGGCGCTGACACGGGGATCGAGCTAGCACTGCACTGCGCAGCACTGACACGGGACCGCGTCAGGGCTCGCGGCTGGGCTGGCATGCAGCCGGAGCCGCCGCTCTTCGGGCCGGGCGTTCGGACTGCTGTGAAACGCTGCTGCTGTGCAACGCTGTGCAGCGCAGGTTGCCGGCCATTGAGTCCATGCCGGCCAGCAGCGACATGACGTTCCCATAGCAATGCCACTGGTGCAAGGCGTGGGCGGTGTCATCACAGGGCAGCTCATCCCTCAGCCGTTTGGGGTCGGTGCGTGTATGACACCACAGCTGAGCACATTCAGTCGACATACGGCCATACGCGATGCTATATCGTGCCCCCACAGCAACAAGCTGGAGTCGTAGCACCTGCAGAAAGTGAAACAGCGATGACAAAGATTGTGGGCGAAACTGTCGCTTTGCAAGCGGGCCCACAACTTCCAGCGTCTTGCACCAAGGTGCTAACCGTTCTATTCACTCTCGCGTAAGAGCGTCGCGAAGGTGGAAAGAAAAACTGCATCGGGGTCAATAAAATGCGAGCGCCTTTGTCGTGACAACGCCAGGAAGCGGCCAATTAGAAACAAAGAAAAACGTGATAGCTTGCTCCATATTTCCGAGCGATTTCCCGGGGCCGAGCGGCCTTTTCTCCTCGTGATAACGGTTGTCGAAATATACCAGCCACTTTCCCGAAACGAGGCAACAACAAGCCGACGAACGACCAGAACTGAGATCAGCGTCGTTGGCTGCGGATTTATCGCCAACGGCGCGAGGATGTATTGCTTGAAATCGATAAATCAACAGCCCGCCCCAAAGGGAAAAAGACCGAAAAGCGCCAGGAAACCAAGAGCGCAACCGCGCTTACCGCGGCTGACATGCCATCGGAACCGGCCGCGCGGAGACCGGCCTCCGCCATTGCGGCGTCACAGCGCAATGGAGACGACAATTCCGACCACCGCGACGCCACGGGCTCGTCGTCGGCGACGGCTGGCTGTCCCGCCGTCGGGTCGGCGGCCGGGTCAGCGGCGGCCAGGCTCCGGTGACGTCACGCCAGGCGTGAGCGCCGCCGGGCGGGGCCGGCTCACGGCTGTTCAGTTCGGACGGCGTGTGGTCATGCGTCGCCGGCGCCGTTAGCCCGCGTAACCACTCGTAAGTGAGGCGGCGCGGCGCCGGACGCGCGCGCGCGCCGTTCCCGTTTGCGGCGCGCGGCGGCGGCGGCGCGGGAGGAGCGGGGCGGAGTGCGGGCGCGGCCGGCGCGCCGCAGACCGCCGGCCGCGCCTCGGCCGGCGAGCTGAGAACGCGCGCCGCATCTGTGCGTCTGAAGAGCCGAAGAGAACGGCGCGACGCGTCACTGGGCGGGACGGGACGTTCCTCAGACCGGGTAGAGGCGGATCCCGACTTGAGGCCCACTGCGTCTAACGACCATCCCACTGTCAGCGCGAGCTGACCGACCGTGCGTCATCGGCCCTTCACTGCGCTGCCCCTGGTGGCGTCTTCTGAGCGCAGAGCACCGAGCCGAGCGTGGGGAAGCGCACGGCGCGGTGTTACCCTGTACCGCCTGCCGTACCCGCCGCTGAGCGGACGCAGGTCGGGTGAGGTGCCGCTCCCCGGGTCCGCGGAGGCTGTGCCGGGCTGCTGCGCCAGATGTCGGAGGCCCGCCGACAGATGGGTCGACCCGTGCCGGCGCTTACCGGCGCGTCCCGCCCGGGGCGGCAAGGCACTGCGAGCCGCGCCCGGTCGGAGATGGCGGCCCTCCACCGGCCGGGACATCCCGGGCAGGATGGCCCTCCACCGGCCGGGATATCCCGGGGAGGAAAGCCCTCTACTAACCCGGGGCATCCCAGGAAGGACGGCTCTCTACTAACCGGGGCTATTCCAGGGGCGATGCTGCCCGTTACGCTGGGTCCAGGCCGTGTCCGTGGACTTGGGCAAGTCGACTTGAACCCAGAGTCGGTATTACTTCGAGCGCTGTCGGCGACCACCAGACAATGCTACCCGCGACGACCCGCTCCCTGATCGCCCTCAGAAGCAGCAGCACCTCACCCGCGGCAGCTTGACGCTGTCGCGTGGACCAGAGCTCGACACCGCTCTATCGCCCAGGAGCCGCAGGAGCACGGGTGTGACAGGCACTCCGGAAGACACTGGCTGGACCAGATCGGTTTACATGATATTGACCAGACACTCTATACCGAGCTACCTTGTTGGTTACACATGTAGTGCAATCGTATTATAATGATGCTGGCAATAACGTTTGCGACGTTATGCACGCATTTCGGCGCTGTTGGCACATCATCACATCACATCACATCACCATCACCATCACCATCATAATCACAATCACCATCACCGACCCCACCCTGCAGCACACTTCGAACCGCCAACCTTCCCACACTGAGACGAGCCTTGTTCAACGAGCATGCGGCGATGGGCCGACTGCTTCCCCACACTCACCCGTCTGATTCGACCAGGCATGGCTTCATCTGGATGTAGGAAGCCGGGAAGAGGCCGCGCCGGCCGCGCTGGCGCACCGCGTAGCCGCGCAGCCAGCCGGCACACTCCTCAAGCACGTGCACCGTGTCACCCACGCGCAGCGGCAGGCCATGGCGCACACAGCCGGACCAGTTGTACACGGCTGCAACGGAGGGGACGGGTCAGGGGGACGCTCAGACTCAGAGAGACGGAACAGGGGGACGCTCAGACTCAGAGAGGCGGAACAGGGGGACGCTCAGACTCAGAGAGACGGAACAGGGGGGACGCTCAGGCTCTGAGAAACGGAACAGGGGCACGCTCACTCAGGGAGACGGAACAGGGGACGCTCAGACTCTGAGAAACGGAACAGGGGGACGCTCACTCAGGGAGACGGAACAGGGGGACGCTCAGACTCTGAGAAACGGAACAGGGGGACGCTCACTCAGGGAGACGGAACAGCGGGACGCTCAGACTCTGAGAAACGGAACGGGGGGACGCTCACTCAGGGAGACGGAACAGGGGGACGCTCAGACTCTGAGAAACGGAACAGGGGCACGCTCACTCAGGGAGACGGAACAGGGGACGCTCAGACTCTGAGAAACGGAACAGGGGGACGCTCACTCAGGGAGACGGAACAGGGGGACGCTCAGACTCTGAGAAACGGAACAGGGGGACGCTCACTCAGGGAGACGGAACAGGGGGACGCTCAGACTCTGAGAAACGGAACAGGGGCACGCTTACTCGGGGAGACGGAACAGTGGGACGCTCAGACTCTGAGAGACGGAACAGGGGCACGCTCACTCAGGGAGACGGAACAGGGGGACGCTCAGACTCTGAGAAACGGAACAGGGGCACGCTCACTCAGGTTGACGTAACAGGGAAATCTCACAGCCAGAGAGTCGGAGCAGGTCCGCACGATTCCTTCGACGGGTGCCGGTTCCGGGGACAGGGCGTACGGCTACAGCCACACCATACGCGAATGAACGTGAGACGTATACCTTCCGGACGAATCGCACTTCATGACAAATGAGGTGGGATACGCGTAACACGACAAAACACCGATATACAAACTAATACAAAAGTGTTGCGTTTGAAATAAACCAGTCTCCTCAGATTTCCAAATTGGCGAAATAGCGATGAAGCGCGAATCTGAACAGAAACAAAACAGACAAGACGGTAAGACAGTAGTATTAGCCTACTGTCTTACATGGGAGGGACATAGTCTATGTCAGGGAGCCCATGCGCCCTATTCGTCTGAAATATAATTGACACCTGCGATACTCTAAAAACAAAACAGGGAATACCTCTTTCAGTGACCATTTTTGGGCAAAACACGCTCAGGCTGAAATCGAGGAAAGTATGGATCCTATGCCCATGATAGAGCTTAAAGTCGTCTACAGAGCACAGTACTACCCAAATAGGAAAATAAGTGAATCTATTCTTATCAAAAGTCGGCGAACAAATCTTAACATACAGGGCTCATCATGACCGATTATGCCAACGTGATGTGTGCCTTTATGTGTGATATGTGCTGGCTTAAAATCGTTTACATGTGTTAGTGACGCCTGACGCGTGATGTGCCATGCCTATTCAACTGAAATTTTTTGCATGTATAACTGATGTACGATGTGTGATGCCTGTTTACTTAAACTCGCTTGCATGTTTGAATAAAGCGTGGTGCGTGATGCCTATTTGCTGGAATTCGTTTGCATGTACACGTATGTTCGCGCGTTCTAATTCTTAGGTAGGCACTGTATCGTGGTAATGGCTGGTAATCGCTCTTCCTCTAATCACCCGAATGTTGGTGTCCTGTAAAAAACTGTGGCTTGCCTTAAAAAAGAAAAATGAAAAACCGAGCAGGATCATTGGCAGGGAATTTTTGATTCACTTCTGCTATTGTTTCGATAGAGGCATGTCGCCGAAATATCAACCCAACTGTATCTCCATTCTCCTGGTTTTTCTCTGAGAAATAAGGCCAATACTACCGTCTTATCTATGTGAATAATGCTCCTCGCTAATGCACTGAACAACTTCCGTTATTTAGAAAGAAAGCAGAGTTTCAGTGCAGTCATTGCCTAACGTAAAACCAGACAGACGCCGGCCTTGCGTGCACTATACTGCAACAGTCGTTTAGGGTATTGAGTAAAAACGGCATCAGCTCCACCTTGTTCGTCTTCACGGGATGAGTTACAACCCTTTCCCGTCGTAATACACGTTAAAAAAATATCTGAAAGTTTCCATAGGCGTAATGTAAAAAATGCCTGCACAGGTTCTCAAGTTACCTGCAGTTAAAATATGAGCCAGCCCAATTCTGGACAGACAGGACGCGAAAGGCACGTCGAAAAGCGGACTGGGGCTGCCTGCACTGTCAGTTACAGCAGACCCTCGTGAGTGACACGGTCTGCTCGCCACTCCATCCGGTCCATGTCCGGCCCTCAGTCCCCTCACATCCAGTCCATGCCCAGGCCCTTAGTTCCTCCGCACACCCAGAATACGCTAGGCAGCATGACGCAGCCCGTCACGCACGGCAAACACAACCCAAGGCCGCGTCTGACAGGATCTGACAAAATCGACCCCCACTCAAAACAAGGAGCGCACGACGGGGGCCAATCACGGCGCTTTCTTACGAGCTGAGGGAGACCGGACCTCGGAGGGGACCGCGGACCAATCCTGCGGCAGGCGTCGACAAACGGCTGGGACCGTGCAGACCGCGAGGCGACCATGCTCACACGGCAGCGCTCGCGTGCCTGCAACAGCCTGCTCCGAAAGGCTCGCGAGTAGAAAACGGATCGTGGCTCTCAGTGTCACCACGCGGAGCATTCGTGTGTCGGTCCCCGGCACGCCAATGCGAAGTGGCTCCCACATATTTGGAGGTCTGAAGGGAGAACAATGCGGCTGGGGTGGGCGGCCGAGCTGGGAATGGAGGCGGAAGTGAAAAGAGACGGGCGGGGAAACGGGAAGAAAAGCAGCACGATACCGTTGCCAGTTCAGGGGGAGCGAATCGGCCTCTCCTACAACGATATAGCACCAAAGCGCAGCAACTTGTTCTGGCTACCGCCCATTTCACCCTGTCGATATCAGTAACAGACCGCGCAAATATGCCGGCAACGCAGGCCCGAATGGCCGGCCAGGGTTGCGTGCGTGTTGTCCTAGTTTATACGCCTGACAGGTCCAAACCCCGGAACCCGAGTCGGCCTAGCAGCCCGTCCCCCCGTGGGCTCCACGCCGCCCTCATGGCGCAAGCCTTGGGGAGGGAGGGTGCTAACACAGGGCGCGCCTGTTCTTCCGCTCGCTGCCAGCGCCGGCGCGCTGGCGACTTCCGGCCGTCCGGGCCGAGTTAAACATCCGTCCCCTCGCCTCCACCGCTACACACGCACACCGTCGCCCCGCTCTGCTCTGCCCCCGCAGCGCGTGGCGGCGCCCACCGCCCGGCCGCAAGCCGGCCGTGCGGTGTGTGCGCGTGACACAGTGCCGCCGCCTGACACCCGTGCGGCGTGTGCGCATGACAGTGGCACCGCATGACAGCCGTGCAGTGTGTGTGCATGACAACGTGACACCACCTGACAGCCGTGCAGTGTGTGTGCGTGGCACAGTGCCGCCGCCTGACAGCCGTGCGGTGTGTGCGCATGACACAGTGACACCGCTTGACACTTTGACAGGGTACAGCCCGAAATCGAGGGGCACGCACGCGGCGTGGTCGCGCGCTACCGGGCACTAGGCTGACCGGACCCACGGCTGCTTCCTCTGGGCAGGGGCGGGGGAAGGGGCGGCAACATAATTTCATTTGGGGGCAGGGAGAGGGGACGCACAACTCAGTATTTGCACTTTTACAGCGCCACAGGTGCTGAAAATTTCTTGCGTGATACATAAGAACTTGGCATGTTTTCAATCTCCGGGCACAATTTTGATGGTCGACGTTTATTCACGTGCATATTGACAGCTAAAAAATAGAAAGGTTGGCAGGTGGTGGCTCTGGCGCTCCCCGACCGTGTTTAATACCCCTAGTTGGAGCATCGCCGACAAGCAGGTTATCAGGCACGATACTTCCAACCTGGCTAGGTCATCAGATGCGAACCGAGCGAATGACCGGGTCATCAGGCGAGGACGGACCGGGGTGACTGCACGCCTGGGACGATGCGTCCATCGGACGTGACCCGACCTGGCGAGCACCGCCATCGGCCGCCGGTCGACCATGGCTCGTCAACAGACGTCAGCCGCCGGTCAGCTGATGTATCCTGCCGCCGGAGCAGGAGTGATTCGGGGAAGGCCCGATGCGGCGGGGAGCGATGTTGTCTGCTACGGCGGAGAAGGCTCAATGCAGCCATCTGACCAGCACAAATGGGAGGGATGTTACCATGTGCGCATTGCTGCCAGAGGGTGGTTTATTTCAACCCAAAATTAGGAAGGAAGTCGCAAACAAAGTAGAAAGGTCAGAAGCAGTCAGCTGTTCAGCAGACACTGTCTACCGAACAAAGGCAGTGTCCGCACGGTGCAGGCAGCGTGAGAGCGTGCCCGCGTGTCGGTGCGGACCGCGTCGAGAGGGCGACGCCGACCGTCGGCCGCGCCGTCGTGTCGCTGGTGTCGTAACTGACCGTCCAGCCACACCGGCCGCGGCGGCCAGCGCGCGTCGCTCGGCCAGTTTCGCCGGCTCGCGAACGTCGGAGCATCGCTGGGACCGGGGACCAGAGAAAGTCCGCCGGCCGGTGGAGTCGTGACGTCACCGCTGAGCTGCGATGACGTCATCCGACGGCTTCACGACACTTTAACCGCCCCCCCCCCCCCCCCCCCGTCCCCAGCCTGGCTGGGTCCCTACAGGTGTGCGCAGGAGACACGGCTATTTTTCAAGAGCGGCAAAATCGGCGTGCGAAGCAATGCAACATGCTCCCTGCTGGAACTGCGCCACAGTTTGTCACGATCTAGGCGAGTGGCACGAGAGCGGGCCGCCTCATCACGATTCATGTCCAGCGCCTGCTCGCCTCTCGAGCCCGCCAATAAGCGCGCCCGTCACATCATGGCGGCGTCATCTGATCCCATCAGTGGCGCCTGCCGGGGCCCAGATGAGGCGCGCCCTGCACGCGACGGAGACTTCGCACCGAGCTGGTGATCTGGTGACAGCGCCTGCACGCCGTCGTGACCGTCGGTGGGCGGTTACCACCTCGCGCC